CCCCCCGTGACCCCCCCGTGACCCCCCCGTGACCCCCCCGTGACCCCCCCGCAGGGCTGTTCCAGAAGGCCATCATCCAGAGCGGCACGGCGCTGTCGAGCTGGGCGGTGAACTACCAGCCGGCCAAGTACACGCGTGCGCTGGCGGAGCAGCTGGGCTGCGGCGGGACCCGGGACACGGCGGCGCTGGTGTCCTGCCTGCGGGGCGCGGGCTGGCGGGAGCTGTCGCGGGCGCGGGTGGCGCCGGCCGCCTACCACGTGGCGTTCGGCCCCGTGGTGGACGGGGACGTGATCCCCGACGACCCGCAGATCCTCATGGAGCAGGGCGAGTTCCTCAACTACGACGTCATGCTGGGCGTGAACCAGGGCGAGGGGCTGCGCTTCGTGGACGGGCTCGTGGGGGACGCGGGTGCGGGCGACGACGCGGACGGCGGCGACTACACGGAGGACACGCGTGTCGATGACACGGACGACACGTATGACGGCGGCGCGGGGGCGGGGGACGACGCGGAGGACGCGGACAAGAAGAAGAACAAGCGTGTTCACACGCGCGGCGATTACACGCGTGTCGGCGATGCGGACGACACGTATGACGGCGGCGCGGGTGCGAGGGACGATGCAGATAAGGTGTACAAAAAGAAGGACAGGCGTGTTGGCGACGCGGATAACACGTATGACGGCGGCGCGGGTGCGAGCGATGCACGCGACGACGGTGCAGACGACGCGGATAACGCGTACAAAAGGAAGAACACGCGTGTCGACAGCACGGATAACACGCGTGCCGGCGGCCACGTTGGCGGGGGCGTGGCGGCCGCCGCGTTCGAGGCCGCGGTCTCCGGCTTCGTGGACCGGCTCTACGGCTCCTCCCCCGAGGGCCGCGACGCGCTGCGGGAGACGATCAAGTTCATGTACACGGACTGGGCCGACCGGGAGGGGGCGGCGGCCTCGGCCTCGCGGCGCAAGACGCTCGTGGCGCTGTTCACGGACCACCAGTGGGTGGCGCCCGCCGTGGCCACGGCCGACCTGCACGCCCGCTACGGCTCGCCCACCTACTTCTACGCCTTCTGCCACCGCTGCGGCGGCGGCCATGACGGCGGCGGCGGCCATGACGGCGGCGGCGGCCATGACGGCGGCGGCGGCCATGATGGCGGCAGCGGCGGCCACCCCGCCAGGCCCGCCTGGGCCGACGCGGCGCACGGCGACGAGGTCCCCTACGTGTTCGGGGTCCCCATGGGCGGGGCCGCCAACGCCGCCAACGCCGAGATCTTCGCCTGCAACTTCTCCCGCAACGACGTCATGCTCAGCGCCGTCGTCATGACCTACTGGACCAACTTCGCCAAGACCGGGTGGGCGCCGCGGCGGGGTCGTGGGGTCAGGGGTCGGAGTGAGGGTGACATCATCATCGTGGGGTCCTGGCGGGGGTCCACACGGGTTCACAGTGGAGTCACAGCGGGGTCGTGGGGTCGCAGTGGGGTCAACGTGGGGTCAGAGTGAGGGTGACATCATAGCGGGGTCACGGTGGGGTCATCTCAGGTCATGGTGGGGTCATCGTGGGGTTGACACGGGGTCCGAGTGTGGGATGACATCATCACCATGGGGTCGTGGTGGCATGGGGTGAGGTCATCGCAGGGTCAGGCAGGGTCGTGATGGGGTCACCATGGGGTCAGGGTTAGGGCGACATGATCGCGGGGTCAACACGGGGTCGCGGTGGGGTCACCGCGGGGTCGTCACCGGTTCACAGTGATGTGCGACATCATCACGTGTAACACGCGTGTTTCTCCCGCCCCCGCCCGCAGGGACCCCAACCGCCCGGTGCCGCAGGACACGAAGTTCATCCACACGCGCCCGAACCGCTTCGAGGAGGTGGCGTGGTCCAAGTACGACCCGCGGGAGCAGCTGTACCTGCACATCGGGCTGCGGCCCCGGGTGCGAGACCACTACCGCGCCACCAAGGTCGCCTTCTGGCTGGAGCTCGTGCCGCACCTGCACGGCCTGCGCGACCTCCTGCAGTACGTCAGCACCACCACGCGGGCGCCGGGACACGCCAAGGACACGCGTGACGACGCGGACACGGACGCACACGCCAAGCCCTGGCCCGCCACGCGGAGGCCCACAGCCACGGCGGCGGCCACGGCGAGGGGCGGCGGCGGCCACGGGCGCCCGCGCGGCGGCGGGAACCGGCGCCACCTCGCACCCGGCGCCCGCGCAACCGCCACGGACGACGCCACGGTGCTGATCGAGACGCGGCGCGACTACTCCACGGAGCTGAGCGTGACGATCGCGGTCGGCGCCTCGCTGCTCTTCCTCAACATCCTGGCCTTCGCCGCGCTCTACTACAAGAAGGACAAGCGGCGCCACGAGACGCACCGCCGCCAGCACGCAGCCGCCACCGCGCACGCACACGCGGCCCACACGCGTGTGCACACGCGTGCGCAGCCGCCATTGCCGCCGCCGCTGCCGCCGCCACCGGCGTCGTCCCAGCGCCAAGATGGCGGCGGCGTTGGCGGCAGAGACGCCGCGGACGCCGCTGCCACGGCGGGCGGGATCCGCGTGGCCTGCCCGCCCGACTACGCGCTCACGCTGCGGCGCTCGCCCGACGACATCCCGCCGCTCATGGCGCCCAGCACCATCACCATGGCGACCACAGCCGGGGGCTCGGCCGGGGCGCACGCGGCAGCGTTCAACGCGTCGAACCTGCCACACGGACACTCGACCACGCGTGTATAGCGGGAACGGCGGCCATGTCGGCGGTGGCGCGTTCCAGTCCCGTCCACGCGTGGATTCTCGTTTTTTTTTTTTTCGGTTTAATATCGTCCCGCGGGGGAGGGGCGCGGGGTCTCCCGGTCCGCCGCCGCCGCCATGTTTTTTTTTTCTTCACGTCACGCGTGTGCGTGGCCCCGGGCCGTGGACTTTTATCTTGACACAGACCCCTCGGCCAGAAAAGTCGGGAAAAGATATAAATAGAAACAACGTAGACGCGGGACACGGGAAACGCGGCTGCAGCCGCGGAACTGTATTTAACGGAACTTTGTGAACACGCGGGATGGGGCGGGGTGGGCACGGGGGGGCGGGAACGGCGATAACAAGGGTCACGCGTGTGTCAAACGTGTGTGACCCGGAACGGGGGTTCGGGGGGAGGGGAGGACAGCTCCAATAAAATAAAAACGGTTTTCTCGAACTCGAGTCCGTGTGGTGGCGACACGTGGGTGGTGGGCGGGGCTGAGTGTGTGAGTGACGGCGGCGTGGTGGGCGGGGCTGAGTGTGAGTGACATCATCTGTGTGGCGGGCGGGGCCATTCGTGTGAGTGACATCACCCCTTCCCCCACACATCCAGCACAGCCCGCGTCAATCTGGATCAAACTGGTTTAGACCGGTTCAAACCAGATTAGACTGGCTCAAACCGAATCAAAACAAACCAGACCAGATCAAACTGGTTCAAAACCGGATCAAACCAGTTTAGACAGGTGTAAACCGGTTTTTGACCGATTCAAAACCGGATCAAACTGGTTCAAGACCAGATAAAACCAGTTAAGCCCAGTTCAAAACCGGATCAAACCAGTTCAGGACCAGATAAAACCAGTTTAGCCCGGTTCAAAACCGGATCTAACTGTTTCCTGACCAGCTCAAACCGGATCAGACCGTTTCAAGACCAGATAAAACCAGTTTAGGCCGGTTCAAAACTGGATCAAACTGTTTCCAGACCAGATAAAACCAGTTTAGCCCAGTTCAAAACCAGATCAAACTGTTTCCTGACCAGATTAAACCGGATCAGACCATTTCAAGACCAGATAAAACCAGTTTAGGCCGGTTCAAAACCGGATCAAACTGGTTCCAGACCAGATAAAACCAGTTTAGGCCGGTTCAAAACCGGATCAAACTGGCTCCAGACCAGATCAAAAACCCGGATCAGACTGTTTCAAACCCAGAGCCGGTGTCTTTCCGTCATCAGTAGAACCCAGGACCTTTGACTGAG